ATTTGGTGTTGTTCTTGGTTTATAAATGCCTTCTAATCTGTCTCAAGTCTATCCGTCCTGTCTATTGCCATCCCAACTGTCTGTTCGTCTGTGTGGTGTTTGACTGTAAGTCTGTCTGTACTCTTTGTGTCGTCAAATCTGTCTGTCTTATCCGTTGTTGGCGTGTGTCTGCCTGTTTGTCTAATGTGAACCAGTCAGTCAGCTGTCTGTCTGTCATGTTAGTTGCCATATTGTCTATTTGTGCATGTATGAATCTGTCTATTTTTGTCAACCTCCTGTCTGTTTCACTGTCTATATTCACCCTGTGTCTATTGTAGTCATCTTCTCCATGCATTCCTGTTATTATCTTTTTATCTCTTCTCCTTTTCCATGAACAGTCAGCCACAGGAATAAGTATACACTGTAGCTGTAAGGTCGTCTGGTAACGTTGAAACTGCGCATCCAGACGCATGATGAAACTCAGCTCCCCCCCACCTGTTATCTCTAACTATTTTCTGTTTCCCCTTCTTTATTCTTCTATTTACTCATCTTCCTTCCTTTACTAATCCAAACAACATTAAAAAAAAGTAGGCTAAGAAAAAAGTGGGGGGAGGAGGAGGGAGCCGTAGATAACTGCAATCGTGGGCTGACAGAGTCCAGCGAATGAGGGTGCGCCAAGTCCGTAGACTTGCATCGTTTTCCCGCGTAAATAAAATGGTTAATGGCTTCCTAAAGAAACCATCTATATGGGACGAGGTTTGTTCCACTCTACGAATTTTTTTGCGATTTTTCCACCAAGTTTGATGAAAAACGATTGTGCCGTTTCGGCTGCCCAGAACAGACACACACACACACAAACAGACAGACAGACAGACACACGGCTAGTCCTATAGTATATTAGATATCTTACGAGGGGCTACGGACATATTATTATTATTATTATTATTATTAGTGTTATTATTATTATTATTATTATTATTAATATTATTAGTGTTATTATTAGTGTTATTATTATTATTATTATTATTATTATTATTATTATTATTATTATTATTATTATTATTATTATTAGTGTTATTATTAGTGTTATTATTATTATTATTATTATTATTATTATTATTATTATTATTATTATTATTATTATTACTATTAAGAGGCGAATGAAAGGTTGGAGAAGAATGTATAAAATAAATAAAATGCTGAGAATAAGAAATACAAAAATAAGGAGGTGACGTGGAAGTGAAAGATAGATAAAGGCGTGAATAACTCAGAGGAGGAGGATGATAAGTGAGAGAGGGAAAAGACTAAGGAGAAGAGGAGGAAGATGTGATGACGGATGCAACAGGAGAGAGGGAAGAGAGAGACACTGACTGGGCTTGTGAAGTGACACACACACACACACACACAAAAACACACACACACACACACACACACACACACACACACACACACACACACACACACACACACACACACACACACACACACACACACACACACACACACACACACACACACACACACACCACCAATATTAACACATTATTTGCTCAGTGGTGACGCCAAACTGAGCTTCTGACAGGAAACTCATGCTCCCCGCAGCAATTTCCTCCAAGCTGTAATAATGAGATGAATGGTCGAGCTACTTACAAATGACTCCTTTTGTATCGCTAAATTTATGACACAAGTAGAGGTGATTTATCATTATTATTAGGTGTGCAGGGACGTGTGTGTGTGTGTGTGTGTGTGTGTGTGTTTGTTATTCACACACACACACACACACACACACACACAACCCCCCGTACCCCACACACATACCAGACGACCTGCGTGTCACGAATCGCTTGGGCGTCTTAACAACATTCCCCTTTGCTTTATATAAACGGCCAGATGAATAACAGACCCATCTAAGAAAAAAATAAAAACATTATACTCAGTTAAAGCCATTTGATGACAAGAATGAACGCTTAGAAAGACTTATTTAGGGACAATGACACGCGGAGACACAGGTAAGACACATATCCCTCACCTGAGATGTATTATTGATCACCTGTGGATGAAATCGTTTTGATATCTTACAATCCTTCTCATTCTTTAGTGGATGTCTATAAAAGGTGAGATTAATAGGACTATAGGAGATAATAAAGAGTAGGTTGAGGCAATAAGTTGATATAGATGTATGTGGTAGAGTGTGGTTATGAGACAGGTAGAACAGATAAGACGTGTTCATATCACCTAACAATACCGAGATAGATGATAGACAGTCTCGTATGTCTCGTGTTATTCGTAAAGGTAATAATGTTTCGTTGTTATTTATTCTTATTTATCTTTTATATAAGGATAGGGAGTGATAGCCGAGCCACTGAAGAAGATTAAGACGCTACTTAAACTGAGTGTGTAATCAAAATGAAGCCTTATACAGGTAAAGTAACACCTGTGGCATTATTTACTTGACTATACCTATGATGAGTGAGGTATGTATGATCATGTTCGACCCACCTGTGGCTACGTATCGTTTCTCGTTCTGTAAAGTTTTATATCAGGCGAGAGATTAATAGCAGGAGGGGACAGAAGAAGGTAATACTAGCTTACCTGAGTTACCTGACAATACCATGATAGATGATACATGATCCACCTGTGTCGATATGTGACAGTGTTTCTTATTCTTTAAAGAGAGATATTAATAGTAGTAGTACAGAGAAGGAAGAAAAATTGACAAGTTTAACAAATTGCATTCTGAGCCATAAAGAAAGACGACTGGAACCGATCAGGTAATATCTTCCGCAGATTATCCTGTTTTGTGTGGATTGTCAGGTGTAATGTGGGGGTCCATCATCCTGTAGCACCTTCAGGAGGCCCCGGGGAGGGAGGGGTAATGGGCCACCCGTGTTTAGCTCACGCCATAAAGAAGTAGCGAGGATAATGTAACCGTGCATTGTGAGGCAGGTCAGGTAACGTGCCTAGTGGTGTGGCACCTCTGTACTGTACCTCCTTCACCTGCAGGTTTATCTTAATAACTGGTTACCTCAGTGGATAATTGAGGCCGCGGGACACACACACATACACACACACACACACATACACACACACACACACACACACACACACACACACACACTCGGAGTGTCGACGACTGGGTGAACCTTAGCGTCGCTGCTGACTGAATTTGCTGAGTTACGAGACGACGCACGGTGCGTCAGCGACTGAGTTGAGACAACACACATTGCGTCAGCAACTGAGTTACGAGACGACGCACGGTGCGTCAGCGATTGAGTTACGAGACGACGCACAGTGCGTCAGCGATTGAGTTACGAGACGACGCACAGTGCGTCAGCGACTGAGTTACGAGACGACGCACAGTGCGTCAGCGATTGAGTTACGAGACGACGCACAGTGCGTCAGCGACTGAGTTACGAGACGACACACAGTGCGTCAGCGACTGAGTTACGAGACACATGCGGACAAATAAACCATTGTGCAGCGTATCGGCAAGACGCCACGGAACGATTTATACGACGTGATTGTCTAGTAGCAGGAGGCCGCGGCTTTGTTGTGGACGACGGCTCCGGTAAACAGATGAGCCACACGTAAACACACCCGCCACAAGGGCCATTATCGTTCTATTAGTGATACATCCATCTTGGCGTACAACCTCCGCGGGTAACTCTTCTTGGCTTGGATTAATAAGAGAAGCAGAGAGCCGCCCCACCACAGATAGCTGGCTCCATTGTGTGGGTCTGTGGGTCTCGCCGGGTGTTGTGAAGGGGTATAGAACATCCCTTTAAAGCCCCGGTAATAACGTGCTGATGGATGGGACAAGGTGTGTGAAGAGTTTGGCTCAACATAGCGCTAACAAAGCCACCCACCCTCAACCTGCGTGGCCAAGATGATGACGAGGCCTTGTAAGATGGACGAGAAACGGCCATGGCCCACAAAACTCTCCCAAACAATGGCGTCCTCAACAAATCTAGTTAATTGGATTGTTAAGATATCGTTGACGGTGATGGAGGCGGTAATAATGATAACAGGTAAACTAGAGACACCTGGTGAGAAGACAATTTATATATTACTCATACATATATAATAACTTCTTAACCTCCTGATGAAGAATTAAACACAGTGATGAAATAAAATGGCTGCTGAAAGTGTCGTGATCACAGCTTGACACTGTGATGAGTAAAACGATGGAGAGTAATATTTGGTGGTGAAGGAGGTGTGTCATGTGTGTGTGTGTGTGTGTGTGTGTGTGTGTGCTCTCAGACACCTGTAAACACGAGACAATACTCACCTATACACTCATACATTACTAATACACACACGTGTATATGTAAAGCAACAATAGCTAGCAAATTTATACACCTGACTACGCATATAAACATATGCATACGTACGTGAACAAACAAACACACACACACACACACACACACACACACACACACACACACACACACACCACACACACACACACACCACTACGTACACACACACACCACTACGTACACACAAACACACCACTACGTACACACATACACCGCTATACGTACACACATATACACCACTACGTACACACACACACACACCACTACGTACACACACACACCACTACGTACACACATACACCGCTATACGTACACACATATACACCACTACGTACACAGGAGTCAGAGACGCACACACCAGATGGACTCCACACCTCGAGTTGGGTCAGCGTCAACAGGTGGGTGTTGTCTACAGTTTCAGGAGTGGACGAAAGACTTGACTGAGGAACAACTCTCGAGGGGGAGCTGGTGATGGACCCAAGGCGGCTGTCAAGGTTTATATATGGATGCTCTTGGTGGTGCTGTGTTGTGCTGTGTTGTGCTGTGTTGTGCTGTGTTACATGTACTCGACCCGATAGAAGATGTACAGTGTCCCCGGGTGTGTCATAACGGCCAGGTCGGTGTCCACGTGTCCGAGGTTGTGGCGTGTGTGTGAGTGTCCCAGATAGACAGGCTGTAACAATGTCCCTGTATGTTTGACAGAATGTGAGGACGGCAGCGTGGACGGTGACGCGGCGGCCAAGCGGCGACGGTCAAGGACCAACTTCAACTCTTGGCAGCTGGAGGAGCTGGAGCGAGCCTTCGAGGCCTCTCACTACCCCGACGTGTTCATGAGGGAGGCTCTGGCCATGAGGCTTGGACTAACGGAGAGTAGAGTCGCCGTGAGTATCTTACCCACCAGTGTTGAGTCTTACTGGGGGGGGACTCACCCAGAGTAGAGTCGCCGTGAGTATTGACTGAGACTCGAACACATCTCTAGATCATAAACCAGGCACCATCATGCACAGCGTCTCAGTCAAATAACGATTTCAATCTGTCCCTTGTAACTACTCCCAGCCTTACATACAAAGGCACACAACATTATTAAACTCTAAAGTTAACTCGTAGTGCCACGTAGACCTAAGAGTACTTATAGCGATTATTTGATTTACAAGATACAAATTTAGAAACTCATTTTGTTATCAATATTTGTACTTTCCTCTTCCCTGTGCCGAGTTAGGGAGAGTAAGACAGTGTTACTATTATATATACAAACAATACTGTTTACACCTCACGGGTGTTTACAGTTTACATCTACTACTCCTCCTTAACAAGTACTCACAACACGGCAGAATTAAATGTAAACGTCAAAAGCAGTTCTTCAGGGATAAGTTTCGACACATTATAGGTGTGAGTGAAGGCCAGTATGTGTTGTTCATATTACAGAAGGTTTGTACACAGTGTAGTTGTACTGTAATAAGAGTAAAGGAAACACTCTCTTATCTCTATAGAGGCTACACCTCCTCTTATTCTTCTTTATTGTTCTATATTTTAATTTACTCCTCTGTATATTCCACACAACGATGGTAGCTGTAGTTAAACACCGTAGATATAAATAATTTGTTATTGTTTTCACTTATGGTCAATATACAGTATTGCTGAGTTCATTTCAACAGATCCTGATAAAATTTTCATTTGGCCTGTCATTCGGCAGGTGTGGTTCCAGAACCGACGGGCTAAGTGGCGTAAGAAAGAACACACGAGGAAGGGTCCGGGGCGCCCCGCCCACAACGCCCACCCACAGTCCTGCTCCGGGGAGCCCATCCCTCCTGACGAACTGGAGCGCCGGGAACGACTCCGTCGGGAGAAGAAAATGCTGAAGCAGCTGGAGCGTCAACAACGTAAGTTGGCTCTCAAGGGCGTCCACGTGACCCTCGAGCAGCTGCGACGCGAGTACGAGAACCAGCACAAGCCGGAGCCCGAGATCGATGTGGTGGGTGAGTCCGGGCAGGAGCAGCGGACACAGCCGCAGGAGACCACCGTCAAGAGACCGACCTTCTCTATTGAGAGCATCCTGGCTCCTTCCCGCCCCGAGGACCGCGGCCCGCCCTCACCAGGCACTCTCCTGAGAGGGGCTCCCACTCCCCCTCCCACACCCCAGGACATCCGGCACCCTCTTCACCTACAGACCAAGCACGAGATGCAGGACCCAGCATCAGACTGCGACATACCAGAAGCGTCAGGAGAACACTTCTCGGCGTATAACTCAGACGACCAAAGCCTAACACACCATCACTCCGAGGCGCCCTCAAGAGTAGACTCACTAGGTACAGTGGATTCACTAGATCCTTTAAGTACAATGGACATACATGCTGCCTCAGGTCCGCTGGCTTCTCTAGACACGTCAGGTAAAGCCGATGACTCACGAGACAAACTCGAGGTGGGAGCATCTGTGGGCTGCAAACCCGAGGAGCTGCCTGGAGAAGACGCAGACGGACGAGAGTGCTGATTCTTCGTCAGTATCACTAGTCAGAAAAAATCCTGAAGTCCGTAATATGATGATGACGTCACCTGGGTGTCACAAGTGTTTACGGTCAGATGTTTTTAAGTAATTATCTGAGAATAAACTAAAGTTAGTGACTCGGGAAGTGTTAACTATTTTCTCAGTCTTCACAAGTCTTGAACGTCAGCTCTTCTATGCCCTTTATATTCTTTAGCATTAACCTTCGTCTGTCCTGAGTGAACTAAAACAACCACAACCAAAATCTATCTTTAAAATGTCCTAAAAACTGAATATCTTCTTTCCATTAATTACTAAGGGTCCTCCACCACCACCACCACCACCACCACCTCCACCTCCTCCACCTCCACCACCACCTCCACCACCTCCACCTCCACCCCACCACCACCTCCCTCCACCTCCACCTCCCTCCACCTCCACCACCACCACCTCACTAAACACACATCTCTGGCCCCTCCTCCTCCCTCAGAAGTCAACCTCCAGGAACACCCTTACCTCCCTCACCCTCACTACCTCTACCTCCCTCACCCTCACCCTACTCACTTCACTCTCTATGTCTATTCATTTATTCACCTTTTTATCATTTTATATAACATATTTGTTTTGTGTTCTTAAATAACTCCTAAACTGTTCTTCAATACCTCTCAGACTCTGTGTTCTTCAATATCTCCATGAATGTTCTTCAATACCTCCCAGTTTGTTCTTCAATACCTCCCAGTTTGTTCTTCAATACCTCCCAGTTTGTTCTTCAATACCTCCCAGTCTGTTCTTCACTGTTCTCCACCATGGGACCCCGCTGACTTGTTATGGATGAGCCGTGTGATCGTCAAACTCTCTATGTACTGTGTGTCGTGTAAGAGAGACACACACCCCGTGATCAAGGTTCTCTCCAGCACCTGAGAGAACTATTCCTAGATCACCGAGGAGAATAAATCCACAACCTGTATCTCTCAAAATGTATTAAAAAATTATGATGATGAATGATGTGGATGTATCTGTTGTCTGGAATTCTCATTAGATAGAAATAAATTATCTAGCAAGCATTTATTCTCTCATATCTCCATTAAGTTGAATTAAATTTATTCATAAACTATTTACTTCTACTTGTTTATATTAATGTCATTTATTTGAGTTTATCTTAAAATATTTGACAAAAGGTTCAATATTTTCTCTCTGTGTTACAACTCAAGAGTGAGCTTTTACTTCGTCCAGGTAACAAGTTATGTGTCTACAGGTGACTAATACCTTAATTAAGACAGGTATCGAATGTTTGCTCAGGTAACAGCAACTGAGAGGCTGACGGGCAGAGACGGGGGGAGGTGATTAGACATAACATTTAAGTCAATGGTGTGACTATTGATCAGCGGCCAGACTACTACTGATCAACTTTCTGGGATCAGATTATCAGACATTTTCAACCTAAATTCTTATCTCCTCAAGCTGAACAGAAACGTCATATAGTTCAAGGTAGAGTCTCAGTGTACTACTAACGCCATCTTGGATCATCTTAATCTTGTTGTTTTAGCTTAAAGTGTGACAGATGCGTTATTATATCACCAGTTAAAGAAGAACATTTTGAGGGTTCGAAACCACGAGAGAGAGAGAGAGAGAGAGAGAGAGAGAGAGAGAGAGAGAGAGAGACAAATTAATATTTTTTTCTGTGTTGATATTTTTCAGTTAATGTTTCAAAAATCAAAACAAAACAAACAGACGCCAATGAGAACTCCAATCACTGAAGAAAATACAAAACAAAAACAATTTACATAATGGAATAAGATTGTTGTTGTTGTTGTTGTTGTTGTTGACGAGAGAAAGGAGTTTGTATGAACCTTTATCCTCTGAAGTAATATTTCTAACTCCTCCATATCAATAAATATCTTAACTACATCTTTTGTGACTTTTATTCTCAATGATTATTTCCTTTATTGTGTGTATGTTTAAGACTGTTAGGTTAGGTTAGGTTTTTGGGTTAGATTACGTTAGGTTTTGGGTTGGATAGGTTAGATTAGGTTAGGTTTTGGGTTAGGTTAGATTAGATTAGGTTAGGTTTTGGGTTAGGTAAGGTTAGATTAGGTTAGGTTTTGGGTTAGGTAAGGTTAGATTAGGTTAGGTTTTGGGTTAGGTAAGGTTAGATTAGGTTAGGTTTTGGGTTAGGTTAGATTAGGTTAGGTTAGGTTTTTGGGTTAGGTAAGGTTAGATTAGGTTAGGTTTTGTGTTAGGTAAGGTTAGATTAGGTTAGGTTTTGGGTTAGGTTAGGTTAGAACTAAAACTGCTAAAGCAACATATTTCAGAACTAGTCAGTGAATGTATTAAGCTTCGCATTAAATAACTTCCACACACCTGGGATGACAGGAAAAACTATACCAGTCAGTCCAGAAGTCAGAGTGAGAGACAGGGGGGGTGCAAGTGAGGCCAGGGAGGCTGAGTGAGGTTAGGTGAGGTATAGTGAGGCCAGGGGAGGTACAGTGAGGTTAGGTGAGGTATAGTGAGGGCCAGGGGAGGTAAAGTGAGGCTAGGGGGAGGTAAAGTGAGGCCGGGGGAGGTAAAGTGAGGCTAGGGGGGAGGTAAGAGTGAGAGGCCAGGGGGCTTTTAACACACTTAAGTCAATTTGATAAACGTAAACACCGATTTTCGAGAATTTACTGTTTGAGTGTTATTGTCACACACACACACACACACACACACACACACACACACACACACGTACACACACACACACACACACGTACACCCTTGATAGAGCAATACATCAATTGTGGGCCCAAGTTATATTTTAACCCTGGCGTCAGTGATACCAGAATGGGCTCAACCAGCTGGTACACGCGCCCGATAAAGGCAACACAGCAATAGTTGAGATTAAAACCTTTTTTTTTTTCATAATTTAGTAACTTAATACAGAGCCCAGGGAGGTTTAACAGTCTAATGACATAGAGGATGAAATTAATAATGGTACGGTTGGACTGATGGATGAAGCCCGCGGATTATGCAAATTATAGAACGCTCGGAGATACAACACAGGAGAAATTGTAGGCCCGTGATCGATCGTCAGGAACCATATAATAGGTGGGGGACGATTAGCATATTGCCAAGCACTCCAGGGAAGAGAATTATCAGCTGGGGGGTTGAGCCTTAAGTTGTACAGGTGTCGTAAACCCGCTCGGCCAGACTACTCACTGATGAAGATGTGAACACCGAGGAGGAGGAGGGAGGGTAATAGGGATGGGGGTAGGGAGGGGTAAGAGGAGGAGGGATAGGAAGGTTAGGAAGGGAAGGAGGGAAGGAATGAGGGTAGGTAAGATAAGGGGATGGAGGTAGGAGGGTAGGAATAAGGAATAGGGTAGGAAGGAGGGAAGGAGGGTAAGAGGGAAGGAGGATAGGAGGAGGGAAAGAAGGAGTGAGAGGAGTACATTGTTCTTTCTCATTTTACTCTCTCTCTCTCTCTGTCTCTCTCTCTCTCTCTCCTTCTGTGTAGATTAGTCAGGTCTGGAGAGGGGGGGGAGGTTGTCACGGTGATGTTGAGTTATGGCAGACAAACATCACTACATCGCTTTTTGATATTTTGGGTGAAAGTGTCCCGGTAGAGAGAAGGTAAACACACATTAGTTTATCCTGACGTGTTTCATTTGTCCCGAAGGTCTCTGTGACATGGGACCCACCGCCTACCTCTCTATCCCACCCGGAGCCCTGGACACAATTTATCCAACAACAACAACAAAATAATAATAAAATAAATAAAAAGTAAAAAATCAAGTTATATATATGAGTGTATCTGTTTATGTCAGGTAAATTATTATTATCAAGAGTGCCGTAAAGGATAGGGTAATCAGGGGGGATTTATTTGTTTACTTATATATGATGGGGATTTTTCATATTTATGTTGTGTTCCGTCTTTCTTATCATCGATTATGTATGATTCTTATTGGAGGAATATTGACCTCAGAGATTATTATGAATGAGTAGAGATTCTTTCGTCTATACCTTCGTCAGATAATACACACACACACAACACACACACACACACACACACACACACACACACACACACACACACACGCACACACACACACACACACACACACACACACACACACACACACACACACACACACACACACACACACACACACATAAACACACACACACACACAGAGTCCTCTAAGCCCCACGACAATCAGGATATCAAAACATTATTTACAAGGCTGTAGAGCTCTCAAATAAATCGGTGGTCGGTACACTTATGAGCTTAAAGTTTACTGAAGGTAAGTTATGGGAGACACACACGCACGGGGTAGGGGGAGCAGGGAGGGAGGGGAGAGGGGAGGAAGGAGGGGCTGGGGGCAGGGAAGGAGGGACAGAGGTGGGAAGGAGGCTAAGAGAAGAGCCTCAAGGCAGGGTAGGTGGGAGTGGGGTAGGGTGGGGTGGGGTAGGGTAGGGTGGGGCAGTAGGGTAGGGTGGGGTGGGGTGGGGTGTGGGGCGGTGTGGGGTGGTGTGGGGTGGGGTGGGGTAGGGCAGTGGTGTGTAGGTGGGGGGGTAGGGTGGGGTAGGTGTGGTGGGGTGGGTGGTGTGGGGTGGGGCAGGGCGGTGTGGGGTGGTGTGGGGTGGTGTGGGGTAGTGTAGGGGTGGGATGGGTAGGGTGGTGTGGGGTAGGATGGGTGGGTGTGGTGTGTGTGGGGTGGGGTGGGATGGGTGGGGTGGGTGTGGGGTGGGGTAGGGTGGGAGGTGGGTAGGGGTGGGGTGGGGTAGTGTGTAGTGTGGGTGTAGGGTGGAGGTGGGGTGGGTAGTGTGTAGGTGGGTAGGCAGGGTAGGGTGTAGGGTAGTGTAGGGTAGGGTGGGTAGGTGGGGTGGGGTGGGGTAGGTAGGGGTAGGGTAGGGCAGGGCAGTGTAGGGTAGGGTGGGGTGGGGTAGGGTAGGGGTAGGGTAGGGTGGTGTAGGGTAGGGTACAGACACAGTAACCACTAGACAACATAAACAAGAAACAAGATTAAAACACGTTCCTAATCACTGACTCACCTTCAAGGAATATAAATAAAGAACTCTTACTTCCTACAGGTGAAACACTCTTCTTGGTTGTATTAAAATTAATATAATTCTCCTACATGTAAGATACTGCGTTATAATTTTTGAAACTCCTCTCCTTATTTGCATATCATTAACACGAGTCTACCCAAGTCAGTATCATGTAGAGAGAGAGAGATAATTGCATCTGTTAGCACTAGTTAACACTCCGACTAACAATAGGTTTTTAAATGACCCTAAAACACATCAAATACAGGACCTGAAACCCTGAATGAGGACGAGAATCAAAACCTTACTCAGAAAAATAAAAAACCCTCAAAAAATATTACTCCCAAGACC